GGCTGGCTTTATGCAAATGATTTCTCAATTTTTGTTTTCATCATTTTTCTTTCTTCGCTTCGAGTCCAATTGATTATGCATTCGGGTTGTTTGTTTATCGGCTTGTTGTTGTTAATTGGGCGCTCTGTCTTTTGAGGGGGAGGTGACCGCAGTAGCTACTGGCTGTGGGCCAACTAATTATTTGAATTTGACTGAGTTGACTGTGCTATTAGCACCAAGTTTGTGCCCTGAGTCTTTTGTTTTAAGAGGTTGGTAGATACGTAAGCTCTTGCAGCATCCTTGATTTGCTATTTGCGATTTGAAGACTGGAGGAACTTTATCCTGAAGTCTCTCAAGTTTGTTTCCTAAGTCTTTTGTTTTTTGAAGAGAGTATTTGAAGAGAGTATTTGAAGAGAGTATTGTAAAGTGTTACATGTGCACGAGTCGTTAGCACGAAATTCTCCAAAAGTTGATTGCGCTTATCTAATCGACCGGCATGGGCTCAGACAATCTTTCTATTAATATTGCTCATACGCCGTGCTTTCCTTTCGTAGTATAAGTGGCGCTAATTGCATAATCATCAGTATATCGTGAACGATTTGCATGCAATGCTACATATATAAACTTATCAGCTTTGTTATTGCTGTTGCCATGGTCTATACACACTCGGCTACTTCTTAACACTCGGCTGCTGCCGGTGTTGACTTAACACATTCGTAACAATTGCGCAGCAGCCTTGCGTATTGAATATTAATTAGCACTCTGTGCGCCGTGTGTGTGGAGCAGACGTCACAGGTGCCATCTTTCGGCCATCGATTGATTAGGTGGTCGGGCGTGTTGAAACGGTCTTGGCTGCGGCTTACAACGGCACTTACCTTACCCAACTCTCGCGGCTCCAATACGTATATTCCGCTTGTTGGCGGCTCTGTTTTGGGCCTGGCAAAATGTGCCAATGGCATGACACCGATTTCCACTTAATTTAGCTTTGGCTTTGGCCAGGCCAAGACGAGCGCAGCTGTTGACCCACTTGAGCGATAGGTGGTGGGAAAGTCAAATGGGTTTAACCTTTCGTCTTGTGCAAACAATTCGTAATTGCAAATGGTAGCAATTCAAAATAATTGAGCAAATCTATTTTAATTCCACTTGGCCAAGACGACATCCACCAAAAGTGGGTGTGGGAGTGGATCGCTGCAGAGGAGGGGCTATACATTTAGTGGTTGCTGTGATTGTCTTTTGATTGCTTTCTTAGACCAACGTAAACGTTTTTCCAATGAAAAGTGGGGAAAACACGAAAAATAGTGAATGCTTGTTAAAGTGTTGTGTTTATTTTATCAACAATACTTAAAAATATTAATATATTAATATTAATATATTATTTATAAACTTAGGCCAAACTTAAAAAGTTGTTTAAATTTATAAGATCAAAAGTAATTTTCTGAATTGAAAGCAATTTTTTTTCTTGTCGAAAAATTAAAATATTTACAAAAATATTCTGTCAAAATATCATCTTCTTTTATCCTAATAAGCTCTTGTTAATTTTGTAAAGAAAAATAAGTATAGCTTAGTTTACAATTAGTTCAACTGCATTGTTTGCAGCTAGTAGTTTTCACAGTTTTCTGGTTAGGATGAGCCGCTAACTTGCATCTGGCGTGAAAGCGATTTCGGCAGTCTTCTTTCGGCTTTCTTCATTTATTAGGCAAGCATTGGTCTCCCTCCTCCATAATTTAGGCATTTTCCCCCAGTTCAGCAAAATGCATACAAATTTCCTAGAGCCGGCGGTGAGGCTTGTCAGGCACTTACTTTATGCGCAACTCATCAGCCGGCGACAAACGGGAGACAACGAAAATGACAATTTGGCTGAGCTTTTGTGCCGCCATTGTTGTGGATGTTGCAGCTGTGGCCGCTGTAGCTATTGCCATTGTCATTCGCCGCATTAGCCATTGTCTTCAGTTGCGGGGAGAATTCATTTGTCGTGAATTATGCGTGGCCAGATAAAAGAAAAGTCTTCGGGATTTGTGACGCATAATCGACTGCCCAAATGCAATGAGCAGTGGAATATCGCATCTGCATACGCAACTGCAACTGCAACCAGTTGCTGATGCTGCTGCTGCTGCTGCCGCTGCGGTGGCGCATTTAAAATGCATTTATCTCAATTACGGCCAGAAAAGCAACAAAATCGCTTGTTTACAACGAAATGGAAACGAAACGAAATGAACGACGCATTGTTTGCAGCAGAAAAAAACTTTCACTGCCAGCGCAAAACTAAAACAAAAGTAATCAAGTTGCGGGCGAGGGATCTGGGGAATCCGGCCGGGCCATATTGCTCCCGAGACCCTTACAGAAAATCCCAGCGAAGTATTGTTAATTAAAACAAATAAACTGAAAGCGGGCAGAGCAACGAACAAAGCGACTTTAAGTTATGCGTAAGAGCCGGAGAAAGAGAAAGAGCTGCAGAAAGCCAGTTTCCGGCGTCCTTCACTCAAGGCCGTTTCCATATGGAAGCGGCACGCATGCGCATTGTTGCTGTCCGGTGGTCATGATGCTGATCTGATGCTGATGATGATGATGATGATGGGGCAGCTGTCAGTAAAGTGCAGGCTTACGTAACCCGATCCAGGAGAGGTAGACGGGATGGATTAGCCCCGGACTTAGCATGCACTGCTCGAAATGTAAATTGAGTTTTGCAGTGGTTGCATCACGGTGCGTCAGCGGCTAAAATAAAAACAAAGCAAAAACACCAGCTGGCAAAACCAGTTGAGTCGCCAAAAAATATTTCATAACCAACATCTATACATAAAGTGTCCGCAAAATGTGTTAACTATTATGCAAAGCTGTCGAAGCGCCGAGTCACGTTTTTCGGGAGCCAGCTTCCTGGTGCATTGGGAAATCGCTAGCCACACACCGCAAATCAAGTTCAAAATGTCAAGTTTGAACAAAGTTAAAGGAAGCGTTCGGCAGAGCGGCAAAAGCAAAAACTGTTCGTCGAGCAGCTGCTCTCGTGGTGCTTGAACTCGAAATGAAAGTGAAAATACGCCGACTTTGGCAGCATCGCTGGCGAGCAAGGCGAAAAAGCTGGCAAACTCTTACTTTCAAGGCAGTAGCCGAAGCTCGGTTGACCAGGCACTGCAGTCCAGAGTACAAAGAGTTCTGAGCGTAGTCGACACTAAAATGCACTCACTAAATCATTGTGACTAATTGAGTTTAAGACTAATATAAAAATATGCATAATTTTATTTTTTATTAAACATTATAAAAACTTTTAAGGATTTTCAACCCAAACAAAAAAACTTTATATGAAATGAATATCGATTTGATGTGATGTGGTATCAATTTTGACTTGATATGCTCGAAATGTCAACAACAGGCCAGAATATCGAATGGGTCTTTCTCCCTCCCACTCATGTCATTACATCGCTCCATTTCGAAGTAATGCTTTTTCCTCTCTTTTTCGAAATCAGAGAATCCGAAAGAGATAGATTTCGGTAAAAAACTATATGCGAATGCAATACCATGTCCATATCGATTTTAACGCGACGATCTTTTTTTGTGTGATTAGGACCATATAGTTTAACATTTCTGTATTTACAAAGAAAAAACGTAATTAACATGTAATAGGAAAAGTTCCAATGAAAATTAAACCCCAAACTTCTTGAAAGCTGTGTAATTGTGGAATAAACAACTAAAATAAATAAATAAGCATAAATAATAACAAACTCGAATATATTTGATAGGCAATTACTTTCATAATCAATGTGTTTCGTAACACTGCATACAAACTAAACTAATAAACTGAATAGGCTCACATAGGGTACTAAACTACTACTCATATTTACTTTTATTGCGACTCTTCATTGCATTCATTCATTTCCTTCTATCGTTAAACGTAAAATGTAAAAACATGACGAAAAGGAGTAACAAAAAATTAGGCAGAAAATGCGCAAAAAGTAAAAAAGGGAAATTAAATAAAAACACTGCAAGTTGGCAGCTGCTGATGATGGTTTTTCCAGTTTTCCCAGATGCTTTTATCGCGGCGACAGGTTTCCAAAAACTTAGCTGTGGATTGTGTGACCGAGGAAACGCGTGTTGCGTTGTGCTGCAGTGGCAAGTGCACCTCTGCAACAACGGGTTTTAGCGCAAATTGATGATTTAAAATTAATTTGCTACGCGATTAATGGGAATTTAATGCGCAAAGCGGAGATTATGCCAGCCAGACGAAAGCGCATTTGAGCATTTTAGCTTTTACGGCTCTTACGGTCTCGCACACCCACTCCTAATTGCCGAAATTAAACCGGTCTTTCAATAACAATCTCTGTTTATCCGTTGCAGGCAATTAAGGAAGTAATTCGTGGCCAGAGCTACTCGTGGACGTTGTCGCGATGCGGTGCAGCAGGCAACCGCACGAAACCGCTTGAAACGTCGCTGTTAAAGCGTCAACAGCAATTGCCATAATTGCCATTGGAGCAGCTCAGACCAATAACCGCCGGACCCACGAGCACATACCCAAACATCGGGCACTAAACACCATCCCACCATCACCATCACCAGCACGATCCCATCCCGGCACCCGGACCAATTCGGATTCAGCCACCGCTGGCTGAACTGGCGAACAAAACCCGCCACACGAGCTGAGCTATCGGCGGCAGGCACACAGATTGCCGCAAATCCAGCTGAATTGTAACAGAGCCGCCGCGCCGCAAAATCAGAAAATCGGAAAATCGGAAAATCCCAAAAGCCGATAACCAAGAGCAGGCCGAAAACCAGTGGGGAGATCAATGAACGCGGCACGCAGCTGACAGCATTTGGTATCCACTTTTCAGCACCAGCAGCCAGCGGAGCGTAGGAAAAAAGCGAAACGGACGAGCTTGGCTTGGGCGGCATTCGGCGTTCAGTGTTCATCGTTCAAGTTCAGGCGGCGCTAAGCAGGAAGTTGTGCGGCTGCGCCTTAATTGGAGCCAGTGTCATTACCACCAGACAACCGAGCAGCCACCATTCACCATTCCGCTCATCCTGCTCGATGTAAGATGTTAGTGGCCAAAACGAGCAACAACAGCAGCAATAGCACCAGCACACGCAACAACTGGCGATGGAGCCGACTGGCGTTGGCCGTTAATCTGTTTGCCTACTGCTGCTGCGCCTCCTCCGCGGCCACGCCCACCACAGCGGTGACCACGGCCGCCCTTCTCACGGGTCACCAGCTGCTGCCCTGGCAAACGGCGTCCTTGGCGGCCACCACGCCCTCCACCGCCCGCAATCTGTACGCTCCCTACCAGAGCTTCAGTCGGCAGGACGACATCAGCTTCAAGGATGTGCGCCAGCGCAGCGATGGCACGGTGGTGCAGTCCTTCGGTTCCTATCGCACCGCCCGTCAGTTGGGCGCCAGTGCTCCGACCACCGCCCAGCGACGCTCCGACTCCAACTCCAATTCCGCGGTGGAGATCGTCCCTGCTCCGTCCGTGGAGCTGCCCCAGAGCGAGCTGATCACGGTGCCCAAGCAGCTGGTGCCCACCATGCCGGAGAATGTGACGCGTCAGGGGAGGCGGCGCAACTACATGTACATTCCGCTGCAAACGGAGGGGGGTGAGAACGGAGGGGCATCCACGGGGGCCTTCCTGCAACTGCGCCCCAGTCGGAATGCCACCCTTTCCGCTCTCGGTCCTCCTGCCGATGGAGTGGCGGCGGTGGCCCATGAATTTGGCGCCGAACTGGCCACCCAGGGCAGTCCGGAACAGCAGCCACTGGAGCTGGAACTCGGTCCCGAGCGCACAGAACGCAGTGACCTCCTGGCCTCGGCCAGTTCCACGGATAAGCTGGAGTACGCTGAGCCGGAGAACACAAGTCGGCGTGTGGGCTTCCAGTTTCCCAGCTACAGCCTGAAGCCCGCCAGCCCCTTCCACCCGCAGTCGTATCGCGAGGACAATCCCATCTTCGGGGAGACCAGTGCCGGTGGCTATGAGCCTCAGCCGTTCAGCGAGGATGCGGCTCCCGCTCCGCCTGCTCCCACGCAGTACGAGGCTCAGCATGAGACGCGGCACACCCGGCAGCTGTACTTTGATTCGGACTCTGCGGCCTCTTCCAGCTTCGAATTCCCCGGCCTGGTGAGCAACTCCAAGCCCCATGGACTCAAGCTGTACCGCGACGATGTCACCAAGTTTGGGGACATCAATGGTCCGATCACTGCCCTGCCGCAGCAGCGACCACAGCGCGGCTTCTATTTCGGCGACACCGAGTTCCGGACGGGTCCGCCCGCTCCGGTCCGCCAGTTTGGCCCGCAGAAGAACTTCCAGGAGTACGTGGGGCCCAGTGAGTACCAGGGATCGCGCAAGAGCCGGTACTATCCCTACAAGTCATCGCGCAGTCCTCGGGTCGTCTTCCCCACTAACGAAAATGTGGGCACCACCGGACCTAGTGGTCCTCCCGCCGGCGCAAGTGGACCCTCCGGAAATGGAGTTTATTTCAGCGATAACATTGCTTTTAGGTGAGTATTTTTTAGAGAGTTCAGAGTTAATGGTTTTAATATCTATAATTCAGTCCTCAAAATGCAAGCTTTTTGATGGAAAATATTACACTTGAAAGTTTCAAGTTGAAACACCTGTTTTATATTATTTTTGATTGACAAAAGATACATTATTTTACTATATTTGGAATTTATAGGGATAAATTGGAACGATATTAACTTACATACATATTTTATACAAATATTAAACTAAAGAAGTAGAACCTTACATATTCTTTGGCTTACGCAGCGAAAGTTTGTTTCTCCACGCCCACAATTGCCTTTAATCCTAACCGTTTTTGTAAATGCCATTTGGTTGTATGTATTTACTTATACCTATCGAAATTTTAAAGAAAGTTTCAAAATCTTTCCATTTATTAAAAAGTTATAAGCAAGTAATGCAATGCGTGCACTGAAAGCAGTCGATTTACTGCTTGCTTAACTTCTCCTCATCGTAGTCCCTTTAGCCTAGTAACGGGTATGTGATTCTCTCTTGTTATTTATTTCTTTTTAATTCTGACATATATTAAAATTATTTAAAAAGCAGCGACATGTCTTTGATATTTTTATTTATGACAAATAACTGACATCCGATCTCTTATGCCAACAGGGACCAGAACTTTGGCATCAACGAGCTGGCCGCCGTGCAGGATGTGCGCAACGACTACAGTCTGCAGGAGCTGGACAGCGCCTCGGAGGCGACCAGCAGTCCGCAGTCGGCGAGCACGTTTAAGGAGAAAGGTAAGTGCCCGCGCACCCGACTCGTCCTCGTCGTCGACGTCGATCTCGATATCCTCCCCCCCATTCGGTAGGGCTTAGGAAGGGGCTTCAGTCAGCTGCTGGGGAACTGCTTGCACTAGAAAACCACACCACAAGCCCATGACCCCTGAACTTATGAACCTATGAACCCAAGAACACCCCCTACCAAACACGAGAACATACCGATTGCAACTCCGATTCGATTCCCATTCGACAGTCGACATCACAACGGACACGGAGTGCCAGCACCGGGGCGGTACGTGCGAGTTCTTTTTGGGCTGCTGGCTCTCCGGCGGCCTCATTCAGGGCACCTGCGACGGACTGCTGCGCGGCTGTTGCCACCGCACGGCCAAGTCGGCCAATCTGGGCAGCTCGGACTTCGTCGGCAATGCCGTAGATCTCACAGATCTGCCGCAAAAGAACTACGGACCGGTCAACAACGAACCCAGTGAGTGTGGCAGCCTCAGCGCGAATGCAAGCCAAACAAAATCAAAACCAAATCAATCCAATCCAAATCAATCCAATCCAATCCATTTCAAACCAACTCCAAGCACGTGCACACTAAACCCAAATACCAAAATACAAAGTATAAATAAAAGCAACGGCTCAATGAAATAGTTGGGAAATAATTTGCATGCCACCTCTAACAATTTACGTATATTTTGTAGTTCGTTTTGTTATGTAGTTATGCACTCGTAATTCGCATTTGTTATTGTCTCACTCTTGGGTAGTTATACCCGTTACTCGTAGAGTAAAAGGGTATACTAGATTCGTGCAAAAGTATGTAACAGCTAGAAGGAAGCGTTTCCGACCCCATAAAGTATATATATTCTTGATCAGGGTCAGTAGCCGAGTCGATCTAGCCATGTCCGTCTGTCCGTCTGTCTGTCTGTCCGTCTGTCCGTCTGTCCGTCTGTCCGTCTGTCCGTCTGTATGAACGCTGAGATCTCAGAAACTACAAAAGCTAGAAGGTTGAGATTTCCCACACATATTCTTTGGCTTCCTACGCAGCGCAAGTTTATTTTAGCCGAGCGCCACGCCCCCTCTAACGCCCACAATCGCCTACTAACGATTTTAAAATGGGTCCTGCGCCCACATCTTTAAAGATTTCCGAGAAGTTTAAATGCAATTTTGTTGTGTATATTTATACCTATCGAAATGTAGAAGACATTTTTCAAATCGGACCATTCGTTAAAAAGTTATACGCAATCAAAAATTATATATCTATCTCCCTCGCACTCCCTTTAGCTGAGTTACGATTATTAGTCGGGACACCAACCCGACACAGCGTTCGCACTCCCTTTAGCTGAGTGACGGGTATTAGATAGTCGGGACAACAACCCGACTATAGCGTTCTCTCTTGTTTTTAGTGTCTAATTAAGCCGCAATCTCGGCAACAACTTGGCTAAAGTATTTCGATGTTCGGAGGAACATGGATGCCTATAACAACACCACCACCACTAAAACCAAAGCCACCCGCGAAGGAGGCTCAGGCTCCACCGTCGATGAGGCAGCGAAAGAAAGGCTGAGCACTGAAAACAGAAATATATAAGTTTAATTGCCCGGCATGAGCATGTTAATTACCACAGCACGCTAATGATAATTAAGCCATATATTACACATAGCTTAACGGCATTACGCTCCATGTCCAGAGACCCCGACCACATCACAAACTGAGACCCCAAATCCCATCAAGACGCGACGACTCAACGACTCGACTCTAGAAAGCTGATCTGAACCCGGCAGCAGCACGTTGCCCGCTTGTTTGCCTAATTTGTTTGCTTGCTTGGTGGTCACCGGTCACCCCGTTGATAATGCTTCACTAATCCAATCCCAGAAATCCCCGTCAGGCTAAGCCAAGAGGTCCTGGTGCGCGGTTCCATCTGATTTGACTTCCCCTTTCATTGCCATTTCAGGCTGCGGCATTTCGCTGGCCAAGCAGACCGCCCAGCGGCGCATTGTGGGCGGCGATGATGCGGGCTTTGGATCCTTTCCCTGGCAGGCCTACATCCGCATCGGTTCCTCCAGGTGAGCATCTTTGGGCCCACTCACTCCTCCCCGAGCTAACAGATGTGCACTTTTTCCTCTCCAGATGTGGAGGTTCGTTGATCTCCCGCCGTCACGTGGTCACCGCCGGTCATTGTGTGGCCCGGGCCACTCCGCGCCAGGTGCATGTCACGCTGGGCGACTACGTGATCAACTCGGCCGTGGAGCCACTGCCAGCCTACACCTTCGGAGTCCGGCGGATCGATGTGCATCCGTACTTCAAGTTCACTCCGCAGGCGGACCGCTTCGACATATCCGTGCTCACGCTGGAACGCACCGTGCACTTTATGCCACATATAGGTGAGTCTATCTGGCTTATTTCAATTGATAATAAGAAGTATAATACAAAAAACTACTCATTTCAAATGAATACGTTGAATGCACAAAGCAAATCTATTTGAAAACGTAGGAGGAGAAAGTATCTATTCAGTTTAAATAAAATAAAATATACAAATATTTTAGGGGCTTGTATTTATATTTCAACGCCTTAATATATAGAACACTTGTATTTTAGACATATTTAGTACAGTTTTTGATGGCTTTTTAATAATATAAAGCAGTTTAATTTAGCTTAATAAGTAAGTAGTAGGTAGTTTGGTAGTTTTTTATATTCTTAGACTGAACCTCAAAGAACAAAATAAATAAATTTTTAGGCAGAACTGTTACTTCTGTTACTTCTTGTTTTTCCCGTTTTCCACATACATAAATATATATTTTATTTAATCTTACACAGAGAAAATTAGCAACATTTTTAGGTGCAAAATCAGGGGTAAAACATTTTAAAAAGTAAAAATATTGGTTTACTTTTACAACTTTTTATACCCTTGCAGAGGGTATTATGATTTCAGTCAGAAGTTTGCAACGCAGTGAAGGAGACATTTCCGACCCCATAAAGTATATATATTCTTGATCAGCATCACAAGACGAGTCGATCTAGCCATGTCCGTCTGTCCGTCCGTCTGTCCGTCTGTCCGTCCGTTTCTACGCAAACTAGTCTCTCAGTTTTAAAGCTATCGGGATGAAACTTTCGTAAAAGTCGTATTTCTATTGCAGGTAGTATATATGTCGGAACCAACCGGATCGGACAACTATATCTTATAGCTCCCATAGGAAGGATCAAAAAAAAAACGTAAAAAAATTCTAGCTCCGATGTTTTTTGAAATTTTACCTTCTACTCTTGGGAATATTTTTTTTTATATATTTCTAAATTTCGGTTTTTTTGTTTTTTAAATCGGATTACTATATCATATAGCTGCCATAGGAACGGTCGAAAAATTAAATGGAAATTCATGGGAAAAAAATTATATCTTTGTTGGTTTTTATTACATTCCCTTCTACTCCGGGATATGACTATTTTGAAATATTTCCGAATTTCGATTTTAATTTTTAAAAGATCGAACTACTATATCATATAGCTGTGATAGAAACGATCGAAAAATTAATGTGAAATAATAAGAAATTTAACATTTTTGCGATTTGTAAATTAATAGAATGATCTGCAAGGGTATATAAGCTTCGGCTTGCCGAAGCTAGCTTCCTTTCTTGTTATTTTTAATTTTAAAACTTTTTACAAGAAAACGGCACCCAAAGCGTCGTATATTTTCTCTGTGTATGGTAAGTCGTGAATACTTATTAAATTTTAATTGTACCAACATTTGGTCCATCATCCTAAATACGGTATGTAACGTTACTTCCCCCTTACGACTAGAAAAAACTGTTTTATTTGTAAAAATGCCGCCTCTATCCCCTGCTTCCTATGTGTAGTTGCGCTGTACGAAAGGGTGTTAATTAAATTAAGAATTTAAGTAGTATTTATAAGCCACCTTATTATTCTATTCAGCTCCCATTTGCCTGCCGGAGAAGAACGAGGATTTCCTGGGCAAGTTCGGCTGGGCCGCCGGATGGGGAGCACTGAATCCAGGATCGCGGCTGCGTCCCAAGACGCTCCAGGCCGTGGATGTGCCCGTGATCGAGAACCGGATCTGCGAGCGCTGGCATCGGCAGAACGGGATCAACGTAGTCATCTACCAGGAGATGCTGTGCGCGGGATACCGGAACGGGGGCAAGGACTCGTGCCAGGGCGATTCCGGAGGTCCTCTGATGCACGACAAGAACGGACGTTGGTACTTGATTGGTGAGTGCTGTGTGAGAGAAAACCATATCTCTATAACCTATCCTCGCTAATCTCCTCCAGGTGTGGTCTCCGCTGGATACTCCTGTGCGTCCCGCGGCCAGCCAGGAATCTATCACAGCGTCAGCAAGACGGTGGACTGGGTGTCCTACGTAGTCGGACTCACGATGAACATCTAGAGGAGCGACACTAATTTATTCTCATTGCATTCGCATTCTTATTTGCACCTGCCTGCTAAGTGGGCCACAGATTGTTTTGTACATAACTCACTTCATTCTGCTCCCGACTCTGCTTTCGATCCACGCCGACTTAATTTATGGTTACACAAGAAATATAATATAATATAATTTAACAAAAACAAATTAGCGCAGTACAATTTAGCAGTTAGGACTGGCTGTGTGTGTCTGAAAGATACACACGTGTGCGATATGTTTGCAAACACCCTAAACACCTTTAAATTAATTATATCTGATAATTACGGTCTAATTTACTTAGTCATATGCGCTGTTATGTAATTTTAAAACTATTTATGAACTACATTTCGTGTGTAAATAAATTATACAAATGTTGAAATGAATTCGAACTTGTCAAACGTTTATTAATCGTACAAACGAAGTCCAAATGTCACTTTTTTATTTTTTCACTATTCGTTGTAGTTGCTGTTGTAGTTGCTAGTTGTGGTCTTGATGTTGCTAAAGTTACTTTTGGATTGGCAGACGCGGCAGATAGACCTGCTGATAGGGAACCCCAGCCGCGGTCCACGCATGCTCAGCATCCTGATAGTAAAGCCCGCCCAAGGCCCCGTCCTTCGACTGCTGCTCCATCACTCGAAATAGGGTGAAGACCTCGTGGTAGATCTTGTAAAATATAACTAAAGGAATAAAATTTGTATAAAGACTTTGGATTTTAGGTATATGAGAGACTTACCCAGCACAAGGGTGAACACCAGAAGACACATTAGAAAGCTCGACAGGTCAATAAACAGACCTGCGGTCGCATAGAAAACTCCCAAGTAAAGACCAAAGCCAAAAATAACGCCATGATAGATCAACCAGGGATACATCAAACAACTTGAGTCCTGTGAAAAGGTGTTTCTTAACTAAGTTACTCGAATGCTTGAATAGAAACTCAAGACTTTTAGTGTAGATAGGTAATGTTTGCCGAATAACAAAAATATCTGAACATGATTACATACCAGAGCATGTAAAAACAGTTGACTATTTCTAGATGTCTCAAAATAACTCTCACTTTGGGACCCATTGAGCAAATAGTCACATAGAAACTGTTTATTCTGTTTCAAAAGGTTTTCGGTCTTTGCTCAACCAGTAACCGATTTTTATACCCTTGCAGAGGGTATTATGATTTCAGTCAGAAGTTTGCAACGCAGTGAAGGAGACGTTTCCGACCCCATAAAGTATATATATTCTTGATCAGCATCACAAGACGAGTCGATCTAGCCATGTCCGTCTGTCCGTCCGTCTGTCCGTCTGTCCGTCCGTTTCTACGCAAACTAGTCTCTCAGTTTTAAAGCTATCGGGATGAAACTTTCGTAAAAGTCGTATTTCTATTGCAGGTAGTATATATGTCGGAACCAACCGGATCGGACAACTATATCTTATAGCTCCCATAGGAAGGAAACGTTAAAAAAATTCTAGCTTCGGTGCTTTTTGAAATAAAACCTTCTACTCTTGGAAATATTATTTTTTAAATATTTCAGAATTTCGAATAAAATATTTTAAAAATCGGACGACTATATCATATAGCTGCCATAAGAACAATCGGAAAATTAATGGGAAAGTTACACAGAAATAAATTTTAGCTTTTTTGGTTTTTATTGTATTCTCTTCTAGAACATGACTCTTTTTAAATATTTCCGAATTTCAATTTTCATTTTATCAAAATCGGACGACTATATCATATAGCTGCCATTGGAACGATCAAAAAATTAATGGGAAATTAATTGGAAACAAATTATAGCTCCGTTGGTTTTTATTGTATTCTCTTATACTCTAGGATATGATTTTTTTTTTAATATTTCAGAGTTTTGAATTAAATTTAACAAAAATCGGAAGACTATATTATATAGCTGCAATAGGGGAGGATAGATAAAATAATATTAAAGTAATACGAAATTTAAAATTTTTGCGATTTGTAAGTTAATAGGAACGATCTGCAAGGGTATATAAGCTTCGGCTGGCCGAAGCTTGCTTTCTTTCTTGTTTTGTTTCAAAACGGTTTCGGTTGATAAAAGACCGTTTGAACTGAACGGAGAACAAAAACGGTCTTTTGACTTTTTATACATATGTGTTTAAACACAAATATTTCCAAATATTTTAAACTTAACTACATTTTTTAAATATAATTTCTAAAAATAATTCCATTTTTTATTTATAAAAATCTTAAACAAGAGTATTTTGGATTTTATTGTGCCTTAAGCTTGAACGCGAAGTACAGAACTTTAGCAGACCAATATTTCCAGTTATATTTTTACCTAATGTAAAATATGAGAAACCGCGAATTCTTCAGAAGATTATGGAAGATGAAGATAATTTACTCGGATAATACTCTCTTAGACGCTTTATCAAACAAAATAAAAAACCGCGAGGTCTTCACAAGTTGATGGCCATTATGTATATTTACTCGTATAACACCATCACTTAAAGGCTATATCTTACAAGACTTAAATCCGCGAATTCTTCAGGAGATCATGGTCATTGTATATCTTTACTCGCTTTATCATAAAACTTAAAAGCAGCGTATTCTTTAGAAACCGCGAGTTCTTCAGAAAATGATGGCCATTGTATATATTTACTCGTATAACATCACTTAGAGGCTTTATCTTACAAGACTTAAATCCGCGAATTCTTCAGGAAATGATGGCCATTGTACACTCATAAAAATAATTTTCTACATTTTAGAAAATTGCCCTAAAAAAATTTTCGCCCTTGAACTGAGAAAAATTTTCTATTTTCACGACAATTTTGCCATAAATTCAAGGCAGGTGACCATAAAAAAATATTTTTAGGGTTAATTTTTCTATTTTTCTAATAATTAGGGCGATTTTTTCGATTTGCTTCGATTTGACCTTTTCTAAATCCAACGGCGAATTGCCCTAATTTTTTTCTAAAATTTGTCTAAATACAAGGGCGATTCGCCTTAAAAATCACTCCAAAAGTGTGAAATTCGGTAGCCCAGCGGTCTAATCACTTGCGCTTTCAACTTTGCTATATGAGGACTAAGGTCGTGGGGTTGTGGGTTCGAACCCTGTGTGATTCAACTTGATTTTTATTTATTTTTTTTTTTTGTAAACGTTATAATACTAAGGACATTTTTTCGTCCGAATTTTAAATTAAAGTAGTCTTTAAACCTTTAAAACGTATGGGAGTTCTGAGTTAAAAGCATCTTTGTGTTTGCTGGCAAGAAAACGGGACTAATTGTCACAATCGTCAGGAAAAAATATACGGTTTAGTTGCCTTTAGTCAAAATATAACGTAGACCTCAAGAAAATAAGATGTCTGCAGAGTTTGTTCGTTGTCTTGCGCGATGGGTCTGTGGTGCAGCGGTAGGACGTTAGACTCTAAACCGAGAGGTCGTGGGTTCGATTCTCGCAACGACCAAAAAAAGTAAGTTGTTTTTTCTCCTCATATTTATTTCCCTAATTCGTTTACAAACATGATTTTTCAGTTCTAACGGCTGTGTTGTATAGATCGGGCCCCCCTCTTAACGCAGCTCCCATATAAGCTACACACCAATACAATAATATGAAACGGTGTCCTCCGCCGGTGTTGTTTAATTAAAGCAGCAGTCCCAGAATATAGACGATTAAAAAAAAAACATGCTTCCCAAATTCAGTTAAGCATGCTCAAACACGATTTTTTTTAATTTGTCTAATTTTTTAGGGCATTTGCCTATAAAATCAGAAAATTCGCCCTTAATTTTAGAAAAATACACCTTAAAATTAGGGCAAATCACCCTAAAAACAGGAAAATATTTCTTATTTCAAGAAAAATCACCCTAAATTAAACCAAATTTCCATCGGGATTTTTTAGAAAATTTTTCTAAATACACGGGCGAATCGCCAGCGGATACGATTTATGGGCGATTTTCTAAATCCACGGGCGAAAAGTCAGTTTTTTAGGGCGATTTAGGGTAAAAATTTCTATGAGTGTATGTCTTTACTCGTACAACAGCATCACCAATGGTGCTTTATCATAAAACTTGAAAACAGAGTATTCTTTAGAAGATAATGGTAACAGCAATTGTAATGCACCTGGTGCTAATAACACAGGTACACAGCCAAAAATTTCCACGAACCATTTCAAGTTTTCCATGATATTTGGGTGCTCCTGAGTAAAAGTCCCATACAAAATTATTTTCCATCACCTACAGGTTCCGCGGTATAGCTAAGAATACAAAAAACCGATGTTTGCCGACATTTTGAATTACGTGGCCTATATAATTGGACCAACATTTATTATTTTCGGTAGGACCTACTCTCAATACATCAAGTAATTTTAACTATTCATTGTATCTATTGTTCATTGTATGCTTTAATTTCGGTTTAAAGCGTTTTCATGAGAACATTTTATTGGATTTCTTATACTAATAAAACCGATTTTTTTATTTCATTATCTACTCCTAAATGTTGTCAAATTTTGAATAAGTCATGGCAACCTCTAGAACTAAGAAACTAAAATACGTTCACTGAACATACACAGAGAAATGTAAATGTTTACTCCCATTCTGTAGGATGCCTTGACTTTTTTAAAATTTGACAACATTTAGGAGTAGATAATGAAATAAAAAAATCGGTTTTATTAGTATAAGAAATCCAATAAAAAATATTCTCATGAAATCGCTTTAAAGCGAAATTAAAGCATACAATGAACAATAGATACAATGAATAGTTAAAATTACTTCCATTCAAGATTTAATCCTCAGAATTGTTTTTCCATCAGAAAAATCTCTACAATTTTGGGATTTTCAACTTTGGCGTCGAATTCCAAAGACATGGGCAATGGTTCACAATGGGGACTATTTTTTAGGAATGCCTTGATGTATTGAGAGTAGGTCCTACCGAAAATAATAAATGTTGGTCCAATTATATAGGCCACGTAATTCAAAATGTCGGCAAACATCGGTTTTTTGTATTCTTAGCTATACCGCGGAACCTGTAGGTGATGGAAAATAATTTTGTATGGGACTTTTACTCAGGAGCACCCAAATATCATGGAAAACTTGAAATGGTTCGTGGAAATTTCACAAAGTTTAATTTTGTGTTCCTGTGTAATTGTTATTTACCATATAGGTATTTTCAAATAGATGTTCTATATATTAGCTTAAATTTTTAAAGATTTAAGGCAAAGGAAAGGCAGAACTGTTAAAAAAAGACCGTTTTTACTGAGCATTTCAAAGTTTTGTTCATCTACTAACAGTTTTTTGAAGGATCGAAAAAATTGTTTTTCAGTCGAGAACGGTCAGCCGAAACAAACTAAACGAAGTGTTTTGCTCAGACCGAAACCAAATTTTTAAATTTTTTTCGTTTTCGTTCACACCGAGACAGCAAACGAAATACGATCAACTGTTTTTTACATGGTCTGTTAATACAAAACTAAATATGATTTGCAAAATATGACACATGATATTTTTCCCTCTAAATTTTTGTAGAGAAATATTGCACTTAACCTTTAACTGGTTTGGATCCTATTTTTTAAGATTACTATTACTTTCCATTTCACTTACCCGGGCGATACCTATTAGCAGCAGCAGACTGACTCCCATGTTGATCAACGACAGTCCGTAGACAATGGAGCTAAAGATGGTCAACACTGAGGGAAAATTAATCAAAAATAGGTCCAATAGGCCCAAGGCTAATGCCCAACATCCGGGAGTACTCACAATTGATCAGTAGCTGCTGTTCTGTAACCGGGATCAAGTTCAGGGGCCACTGGTTGAGCAGCAGCTCGATATCCGGACGCAAATGGATGGTCAGAACGGAGCTGCCGAGGATAACGCTGGAGATGATCACGCCCAACCAGCCGAGGATGATGACATTGTACTTGAGGTTCTGGCACTGTACGTACGAGATGGAATGGCTGGCGGCCAGTGCCACGGCAGAAGCCTTGCCACCAGGATGCGATGGATCGTTGGGGGCCATTGTTACCGTTCGTTGGAAGCCAACTTAACGTACGTTTTGCCGGATTCTGTTTTGGTAGTCCGTTTTTGTTGATGTGTTTGCAACAGAACAAACAACGATGTACTGAAGCCCAGGGGACTAACGGCCAGGTGACAGGAAAGCTGGGGATCATGGCCTGCTGAAGGTTTTACTGGAAGAAACTATTTTGTTGATGGATTCATTTTTACTCCTTATGGCTGATGATTTCAGAAGTAAAATCAAACCCAATGTGCTGAGATGAAATGAAACGTTATTAATTTTAGTTAGGTTGGACTTTATTTTCACTTTCCTATCCAGAGATACTTAAAAGTGTGACACCTAAGAACCCTATTTAATATGCTAATCCCCCCAGCCCCTCACAGCTGGCGACAAATTAGAAAGTTACATAAATGAATGTGTGGCCCCCATTTCGGCTAGTGGTTCTATTTTGTCTAGATGGCCTAACCCAAAAACTCTCCGGTTGCCGCGAGAGAACTGTTCCCATTCCGTCGACAGATGGCAGCGGTTGTTGCAATTATGTCGCATAAAATAATTATAACAGACTGGGAGAACATTTCCTGCGCCGCTGGCGGCGTCATCAGCATTTCGTAATAATTAGTAAAGATGAAGAAGATCGGCAGCAGCAACTGAAGCAGCAGCAACTCAGCCCAGCAGCAACGTCAACTGGCGACAGCAGCAACACAAACCAGAACCAAGATCAACCTGTTGCTGCGTCTTGGCTAATGGCGTGAAGTTAGTTTGCGTTTGGACAGCGGCGCGTGCGGATGTGGCTTATAACACCATCTCCAAAGTCGAAGAACAGTTCTCGGTATCATCTCGGGAAATGTGTGAGACTCGGGTGCGTGGCTGCTGGGAAAAGGAAAATTAAACTGTGAAAACTGTGCCATCGAGCCAGCCAAACGAATTGGCACAGTTCCCATTATGATGGTTATATAAAATCCATTAGCCCGACCACCGACCGCCGACCCATTTGCAAGCGACCCCGAAACTTGTTCGCCTATCAAGGACACAGATCTCTTTCGCTCGAGAAGAAGCTCCGTGAGTCACCCAGACAAGCCCATAAAGAGCAGCGTCTTCTAGTAAAAGTGGAGCAGCAATAATAGGAAATGTAAGAAGAAAACAGCAGAAGCAGCAGCAGAAGCAGCAGCCAGCTTAAAAGTGAATAAGAAATTGTCATGCTTTCATTAGCAACAAAAGCGTTATAGTCCGTTCCAATGAGCGTTTGAGTGTCATCCTCGGCGGGGTACAGTGAAGTGCGAATTGTGACCCCGAATAAGACTTTAAGATGCAGTTGCTACTGTGGCTTTGGCTGTCCCTGAGCCTCCTGCTGCTCTGCCACCTTGGCCCCACCCAAGCCAGTGAGTATAGAATGCGCATGAAACCCTCCCCGAGTTAACGACCCCGATCCCCGCCAGATATTCTGAACACTCTGCTGGGCGTGCCCGCGGAATGCGTCCACCAGAGCGGCGTCTGGCCCTGCAAGCTGAGCTTCTCCTGCTGGCTGCAGGGCGGCAAGCACGCCAAGGGATGTGGCAGCAACAAGTGGCTCTTCAGCTGCTGCGTCGCCGACCCGCAGCACCAGCACCACTCCCCCTCGCCGCTGGCCAATCTCGTGGACTACGGCAAGCTGAAGCTGAACCTCAACAGCCTGCCCAAGCGGATCATGCTGCGCAGACGTGACGACAACGAGCTGCTCACTCTGAAGGTGGGTCGGGTGCACATAATTGAGCCATGGCAACCGCAGAGCGGGATAATTGAGCAATTTTACTTGACAGACAGACGGGCAGGATTTGTCCAATTAAAGCTAGAATAGGGACAGCTACACCTTTCTCAGGGGTGTACCATTTCGAAATCCAACTTTATTGGATAAAGTTATGTGCCCAGAGTCAAGCTGTTGATATTCGTTCAACAAAGGAAATGACAATGAGTTCAAAAAGAAATAAAGAAACAATTTAAAGAGGTAATTTAGTTATTGAATTTCTAAGAACCCAGGAGTAAACAAAGAAAAATAAGAACGAAAAAAATCAAGAGCATTATTCATGATTCACGAACAAACAGTGGCCATTTTTGTTATACTCTTTGGGATCAAATCATTAGTCAATCATTATGAATTGTCCACAAACGGGCCTTCACAGGAAACCCACCATGTTAATTTTGAAATTGGTCAACAGAGTAACGGGTATCTGATAGTCGAGGCGCTCGACAATTTATCTTTATTACATGGCCGATAAAAATTATTTTTAAAAATTAATTTTTACCAAAATCGCTTGCAGCCCGAATGTGGACTGCCACGAACGGCACAGAACACCCTGCAGAAGCGCATCATCGGCGGTCGACCGGCGCAGTTCGCCGAGTACCCGTGGCAGGCGCACATCCGCATCGCGGAGTACCAGTGCGGCGGAGTGCTCATCTCGGCCAACATGGTGGCCACAGCCGCCCACTGCATCCAGCAGGCCCAGCTGGCGGACATCACCGTGTACCTGGGGGAGCTGGACACTCAGGATCTGGGACACATTCACGAGCCCCTGCCCGTGGAGAAGCACAGCGTGCTGCAGAAGATCATCCACCCGCGCTTCAACTTCCGCATGACCCAGCCGGACCGCTATGACCTTGCCCTGCTCAAGCTGGCCCAGCCGACGGCCTTCACAGAGCACATCCTGCCCATCTGCCTGCCCCAGTACCCGATCCGGCTGATCGGGCGGAAGGGACTGATCGCCGGATGGGGCAAGACAGAGGCGCACATGGGCCACGCCGGCACCAACATGCTGCAGGTGGCCAGTGTTCCCATCATAAGTGAGTGTTGGTAGTTAGCCTGCTTTCCTAAATTACCCACAACTTATTTTAGCCACCTTGGACTGCATTCGCTGGCACGAGAGCAAGCAGATAAATGTGGAGATCAAAGCGGAGATGTTCTGCGCCGGCCATTCCGATGGCCATATGGATGCGTGCTTGGGTGAGTGGATGCCGTTGTTTTGGCCAAAAACTTTCAAAGACAATGCAACGAAATGTTTTAACTGTGCTGCCAGCCTTTTGTACAGGGAAAAGGCTTAATCATCAAGCTGCCAAGGAGATTGACATTGATAAGCCTTCTTTCGTGATTCAAGAGTTTGGCCCAGAGGCAGATCTAAGATTTGGTTGTAAAGGATTTTAGAACAAATTCTTTGTTGAGAACTTTCGAGTGGGGGTACTTATTCCCGTAGATTCGCGCATGCTTAAAATGTACTGGACTAAATTGAACCGTTTTATTATTAAGTATATTAACGGACATCCACGAATCGAAACATACTTTTGGGCATCACTTTAAAAGCAGGGGTTTACTATTTAACTGGTTTTTATGGTTTCACTGTTAATATTGTTTCTTTGGATCACATGTATTTTGATGATATTGATAGTACTATGTCTCTGACTTAATTTTATTTATATCATTACTTTTCAGCCAATAATTAATTTTATTTTATCTATACCGAATGTTTCAATTTAATATTTTTAAGAGTATACATTTAATACTCATCTTATTGATGCAAATTTGACACTCAATAGGGTAGAATTCATGTACCAATAGTTTCTTAACAATAGTTTTTTTTGGATGTTGTCGTACCTATAGAAATATTTAAATTTTCAAGGCAACAAATGAAGATTAATTTCAATAAATTTTAAATGTTCAATATTGATGTAATTGATCCTCTTGATCCTAATAAAAGTCAATGGTATCAAGAATAGACGACTTTTAATAAATGTTTTAGATATTAGCGCCGTTTTTTGTGCACTTTTAATAGGTATAGTAAATGTTAAAAAACCTAGAGCCTAACTTACAGTCAAATTTCGTGATAATACGATTGATTTAGATTATTTACAGAAAACGATGTTATAGTTTCCTTACTTCTGAATTAAAGATATCATTATATTTTCAGGAGATTCAGGAGGTCCGCTGGTGATCAAAGAGCGCGGACGCTTTGTGCTCGTGGGCATAACGAGTGCGGGCTTTGGCTGCGGAGTGGATCATCAGCCAGGTGAGATTCGGGAACCATCCAAATTCGAGAATTGTGTTATTCATTTCTTACAGGCATCTATCACAACATTCAGAAGACTGTAAGGTGGATACAGGAAGTGGTGACCCGCAACGAGTTATAGCTGCTGACGACCCTGGGAATCCCCTCCGAACCATTGGCAATGCAACCCATCTCATTAGATTACGGCTCGTAGCATTAGGCAATGGAAATGTGCAATCCGCAGCCGGAGACGCAATATTTATTAGATTTAATAAACAATACAATTAGCTAATTGTAGTTGCTTTTGCCGTTTTGGAGAAGTGGGTTGGAGACCGACCTTGAACGCCGACAGCCGCCTGCCGCCAAAAAAGAGAAAACCAGCTGGCCGAAAACAAACGAGCCTCTTGTTGGGTTATGTCACTGGCTGTGGCCTATTTGGTGGAGTGCCACAAATGGCACAATCCCTAACTGCCGGGCGGTAATTTGTACATTAGGCACATTAAGCCCAGGCAGCCTGCGTTGCCCAATGTTGTTGCGCAGTGCAACTGCTGCTGCTGGGATTGCTGGCGTGCTGCACTGCAGGAACATATGTCGGTGGGCGGTGGCAATGAAATCGAAAATGTGTGTCATTGAATGGTTAATAACTATTGACTGGTAATCATGGGGCCCCCGGCTCGAAAGCTTCTTTGGGCCGAAAGTAAATGTCACGCTTGAGGCGAAGCTCGATGTTGCTGAGTGGGATTTTCCGGCAGCAATTTGTTCGGCAATTGTTGGTTTTGCTAAAACACCAATTTGTGTGTTGGGGGAAAACGCGACTTCCTCTTCGGAACGGTGAAGTTGGAGAGGAGCGAGTGGGCAAAGAAATTGGATATTAGTCATGGCGACAACAGCCGCAGCCGCAGCAGCAACAGCAACATGCAATTGCCAGTTGGGTTGAGCGACAAAACTCGTTGGCCACTTTCGTTTTCAATGCGGGCTCTCGCCGACTTAGCCTGGCTTTTCTCTCGTCTTGGCTTCTCTTTGGTGACTATTACTCAATAGTCGGTGCTCGGCTCGCTGCGTACCGCTCACCAGCTTACCAGCCAGCTCGCGGTGTTGATGGCATTTTGATTTTGAATTTGTCAGCCAACTGTTTATTAAGTGTTTCGACGCGACGGCAAACTGTTCGCGAACTGCGGCTGCATTTGGGCGACGCGAAACCGCAGAAAACGCCGAGTGAGGAGTAAAAAATATTAAAGATACACTCTGAATTATTGCCAAGCCCGCGAAAGAAGAGTGTGGAAGGTGGAGAAAATTGTGAGCTTAATTCCATTTACTGGGCCGCGCACTCCAACTCGGCCTGCTATGCAAACGAGGTGCGATTATTCAATCAAAAACTCGCGCCGCTACGTGAATTAAGTGAAACACAATTGCAGAAATCAGTGACAGGCGGTGGCAACAACAAGTGTAAACAACAACGAAAGTATTGCAAAATGCGCTCTCCGCAGCAACTGCTAGTGTTGCTGCTTGCAACAGCTGCAGCTGCGCACAGCAGCAATTACAACTCGGTGTACAACGAGGTGATTCCGCCGGAGCTCAAGCAGGCCATTGATAAGGAGCTGCCCAAGGAGGCCAAGTTCTTCGACGAGCTGGACTGTGAGTATTACAATCGGAGACGCCCTCCCCTGCAGTCAAGTCAAATCGAGTTCGTTGCCTAAGTCTTTCGTTTCGACTGGCACAATTTGCATATTAGTTAACACGCCATGCTTAACCTTGATCTTCGCTGCTCCCCCATGTCAAGTTCGGACCCAATTCCCCATCGGGAGGTTGAGAAACCCCCTTGGAAATCGGACTTGGGCCTCCGGCGAAAGTTGGACATTCCGTTCTTGGGCAGCCAATTCATCTTGCTTAATTGGACTTTCCAAAAGAAAGACACGAAAGCCAATTAAGCCCGAGCTTAAGGTGATTACACTTTAACATAAAGGCACAAGCTGCGAGATGTAGATCCCAAAAGAAAGGCCGCGTTTTTGGGCAGCTGTGAATGACTATTAAAACGACGGCCAGCCGGGCAAAATATTATAAATCAAATTCCTGTGTGTGGCGGCTGTGCAAGTTCAATGGCAGCTGCTGCCGCCACGGATATACACATGTAATACGAGTATGAGCAAAAGCAAAAGTGTTTCCAGATACCGATACACAGACAGGAAAATCAACTGCAATTAACTTCAATTGCACACTCGCAGCATTCGAAAGTGTTAACAGCAACCGCCGTGAGTCGGCCATTTTCCAAAAAGATTATAGATTATTTGGATTGGTTTGGTTTGGCCTTTTATGTAAGCAGAAACCTTGGCCAAAAAAAGCGACAAAACAAAAAAGAAAAGAAACAAGAGTCCAATTGGAGTCGGGCAAGCAACATGTTGTCGGTTCGCTGGCAACATTGCTGCGCTCTGTTTCAATGAAGTTGCTCTGCAAGTGAAATGGCTGAAAGCGGCATCTCTTCGGGTCTTCGGCTGCTTTTCGGACCTCGTACCTCGGCTCACGGCTCATGGCTCTTGGCTTGGCGGCCGCAAAAGCTTGGCTTAGTTCTGAGCCGATTTTCCCGACGCGCGGTCGCCTTTCCGTTAGCTCGCTCCTCGCTCTTTAAAGACTGTGTGCGCATGCGTAAAGAAAGATAATTCCAGGGGCATAAAAGTGAAGCGAAGATTACAAATTTTCTTTTTTTGGAGCGGCGAAACTGCGCATGCGTGAACCGCACAAGAAAACGCCAAATGAAAATAAAAGTGAAATCCTTGGTGAACTAGTGGCAGGACAGCAGCTCTGCCCGATCCACTTGCAGTAACTCCAGTGGCTGAAAATCAATCATAAGCCAGAAAGCGAAAGTGCAACTACCCCAATCGAAAGTGAAAGTCCGCGTGGAGCTCCACCCCTTCCATCCGTTCGCTTGCCATGCTCCCACTGCCCCGGCACTCCAAGGACACCTGGCTGCGGCTGGTGGTCCGAGTTGGCCTAGTGGCCCTCCTGATAGCCCCAAGAAGAGCCGATGGCCTGGGCTATCCCAGTGCCCAGCAGGAGCACGACATGCTCATCCTGGACGCCCTGTCACGCCGCAGTGGCACCGGATACTATGGCGAAAACAGCGTGATGGAGATGCTATCCCGAAGTACTTAGCCCCAACCAATTTGACTTGGCTCAGACCCCTTACCCTCCGACCTGTTGACTAATTTTCTTACCCCACCGCCCCTGTCTTTGCAGTGATACCGCAGTCGTGCCGCTTTCGTGGCCACAAGTTCGAGTGCGGCCTGTCCATCTCATGTGTCTTGGGCGGCGGCAAGCCGCTGGATCTTTGCTCCGGCGGCATGATCTGGTCGTGCTGCGTGGACAAAGATCTCGACGCCGAGGAGAGTCCGCACGCCGCCCCGGTCAACAACACGAGTGAGTATCAAGAGCGCCCTTAGCCCCACCATTCCCATTCCGATGACCAAAACCCAGACAAACGGTTGATTCTGAAAGTCATTTCGCCTCCTGCTTTTCCCGCGTCATTCCCTACAATTGCAAATTGCTGCGCTTCGAGTTATGCAACTCGGTTTCGTATAATGGAGCTATAAATTAGCTTGCATTTCGAAAATGACAAAAAATAGCTCAGCTCACAAGCACACAGCCAAGAAGCCTTTAGGCCTTGTCCGGGGAAATACAACTAAATAGCGCAGAACAAGTTTATCCAAGTGGAATATGGCGTATAGCGTACTTAAATATAACATATATACAGCAGATATTATGGGAATGTTTTAGTCCGCGAAATATATATGCACTGATTGGTCTAGTGCTTTAAGAGAAATTGTATAATTCTTTACCTTACATTGGACTATTTGATTTTTTTACAAAAACATAACTTTGTGTATTTAAAAACTTATAACTTATAAAACTTTTCAAATAAGCCTTGACATATAGGCAATTGGAACTTCTTAAAAAAAAAACCGAAATCTGGAAAAGGCCATTTAGAAAGGTAATTTATTACCTTTATAGTGGTGTTAGTAGTTAGACAATCGTTAAGTGAATTGAAATAACTAATCCATATAGACTTACTATTTACTTATACCTCAAATTTGTTTATACCCATTACTCGTAGAGTAAAAAGGTCCATTGTATTTGAGCAAAAGTATGTAACAGGTATAAGGACGCTTGTCCGAACCTTCTGTCTGTCTGTCTGTATATACCTATCAAAATGTAGAAGAAATTTTTCAAATCGTAATATTTATCAACAAGTTTTGAGCAAATACATGAATTCAAGCAGTACATGCAGTCGATTTGCTAAATGCATATCTCGCACTTTCGTTAGCTGAGTAACGGGTATTTGATAGTCGAAGTACTCCACTATGGCGTTCTCTCTTGTTATACCCTTTACTCGTAGAGTAAAAGGATATATTGCATTCGTGCAAAAGTATGTAAATCGGAGAAGGAAGCTTTTCCGACCCCATAAAGTATATAAATTCTTGATAAGGGTCACTAACCGAGTCGATCTAGCCATGTCCGTCTGTCTGTCCGTCCGTATGAACGCTGAGATCTCGGAAACTACAAAAGCTAGAAGGTTCAGATTTCACACACATATTCTTGGGCTTCCTACACAGCGCAAGTTTATTTCAGCCGAGCGCCGCGCCCCCTCTTACGCCCACAAATTCCCACTAAATGCCCACAGACATATGTGCAATCAAAAAATGTTACATATCCATCTCCCTCGCACTCGCTTTAGCCTAGTGACGGGTATTAGATAGTCGGGACACAAACCCGACTATAGCGTTCACTCTTGTTTTAACTACTGATGTTCATACGTTCACATTCCGAAAGAAACAACTTATATAGAGAATTCGCTGGTCAATGGATCAATTGGTTTGCCATCAAGTGCATTGGTTATATCGTAATCGCAGTGGATGCAATTACGAATTCGGCAATAACTGCAGCTAGAAGACCAATGAGAAGAGGCAGGCCACTTATATTATGCCACACACGCATGAGTTTGGCCCACGAAGTTTTGTTTTGTTTTTGGTTACTTTGAGTTGCTGTTTTCCTTCTTCAGCTGTTCCGCAGCTATTTTGTTGTGCTCTGTTTAATTTTCTAGACTTCTGCCTTCTTTTTCGAATGCCCGCGTTACAAACATAAAAGCAACCTGAACAATAACAAGGCATTACAACATGTTATGAATAATTCTTAGTGGAAAATTTTGTTTTCCACCGCCTCTCTCTCTTTTCCTGCCGCTTTTTGGACGCACATCAATCTCGGCTTTAACCTTTTCTTTACCGCAATTTAACTTAATTTTGAGAGTTTTTTCCCCACTTTTCGGTTGAACATTTCCTCGAAGCCTATAAAGAAGTGGGTTCTGCGTGCTTTCTTTGTTATTTCATGTGTAAAGTTTTCCCAAGCCGTCTGGCGACAATGATAAAGCCGAAAACCGGAGTCAGCCCCAAAATGGGCAAAACTCACTTGCGGAAATAAACGAAGGTGAACGTTTTCGCATTTAAAAGTGAAATTTTTGGTTTTCTTTCTTTGTTTCAATTCGACTGGGGCCACCCTGCACCCTGCCCCTGCTCTGCCCTGCGAGGGTTTTATTATTTTGTTTGCTTTCAAATGTGGGAAAAATCACAGCGCAAAAGTTACGGCATACTTGAATCAGGCCGAGCTCCTCGAAAGTGTTAATCAAGTCATGACGCCGTTCTGTGTCTCCCCCGAAATGGCTTTCGGATTGGTTTGAATTACGTGCGAAACGCCCAGTCTTTGTCTTAATGGCCAGACTGACCAGTCTGGGCCCGTCTTGTCTTTGGGACAACTGACATAATCGCAATCGTGTCTGGGGTCTTACTTTTTATTATGATTGCTGGTCAGTTTTTGGGGAAAGTCTGACGTAGACCTCCGGAGACGCTGCCCAGACCATCATCCTGAATCACGATTCTCACACACAGGCGACATAATACACTTGCATGACATTTATCCCGACCTGTCGACGAACGCCAACAAGCCGCAGCACCACCTGCACCACCACAGTGGCAACGGCCTGTCAGCGGCCCCGTCCACCTCATCCACGGCGTCCTCCTCCGCACGACCGGCTTATCCCAGCAGCAGCTACTACGGCACCAAGCGACCAACCCTCTACAGCGGTTCCAATCCCTATAAGCCAGGCTCGGGTTCCAGCCGACCATCCTCCTCCTCCTCGTCCAGCCTGAACAGCTGGGAGCACGAGAGCGGCGGCCACTTGGGCTCCGTCAGTGGGATCACCAACCATCTGGACAGCTTCTTTGATGCCGAGTCCCCCTCGCCGTCGTTGGACTCATCCGGCGCACCACCGCCCCACGAACCGCTGCCCAACGCCCAGGCCTTCGCCGTGGGCAATGTCCTGGACCTGAACGCTGGCGAGGCAGCGGAGGAGTACCAGAGTGGAGGCTACCACGATGCCAGCTATCGTCCAGTGCCGGGTACAAAGCAATCTCACACTCTCTCTGTTCTCTGGCACCACTGCAATTGGTTTTCCTATAAGCTGCACCACACAACCACCACTCACCCACTCTGTCACTCTCTTCTTATTCTGTAGTTCTTTTCTCAACTCACTTTGGTGTTTTTTAAGAATGTCTTAGGGGCTACCTATACAATAGATTCTTCATCTGTTTATTCCCAGGCTGCGGCGAGGTCTACACGCGGTCCAATCGCATTGTGGGTGGGCATTCCACGGGCTTTGGCTCCCATCCCTGGCAGGTGGCGCTAATAAAGAGTGGATTCCTCACGCGAAAGCTCAGCTGCGGTGGTGCACTGATCTCCAACCGATGGGTGGTCACGGCTGCCCACTGTGTGGCTACGTAAGTGTTGCAGAAAGGGGAAAAGGAAAAGGTACTTAAACCATCTTTGATATCCATTCAGCACTACCAACTCCAACATGAAGATCCGACTGGGCGAATGGGATGTCCGTGGCCAGGAGGAGCGGCTAAATCACGAAGAGTATGGCATCGAGCGGAAGGAGGTGCACCCGCACTACAATCCCGCCGACTTCAAGAATGACGTGGCCCTGATCCGCTTGGACCGGAATGTGGTCTACAAGCAGCACATTATTCCCGTCTGTCTGCCGCCTTCGTCCACCAAGTTGACGGGCAAAATGGCCACTGTGGCGGGCTGGGGGCGTACGCGACATGGCCAGAGCACAGTACCCTCCGTGCTGCAGGAGGTGGACGTGGAGGTGATCTCCAATGATCGCTGCCAGCGATGGTTCCGCGCGGCAGGAAGACGCGAGGCCATTCATGATGTGAGTAGTCAATGGGTTGGGTCTAGGGATTTATAAAATATCATATAGCTGCCATAGGAACGATCGGAAAATAAATGGAAAAGTAATAGGAAATAAATTCTAGAGTCTTTGGTTTTTGTTGTATTCCCTTTTACTCTAGGGTATGACCCTTTTTAAATATTTCCGAATTTCAATTTTAATTTGATCAAAATCGGACGACTAAATCATATAGCTGCCATAGGAAAGATCGAAAAATTAATGGGAAATTAAATGGAAACAAATTATAGCTCCGTTGATTTTTATACCCGTTACTCGTAGAGTAAAAGGGTATATTAGATTCGTGCAAAAGTATGTAACAGGTAGAAGGAAGCGTTTCCGACCCTATAAACTATATATATTCTTGATCAGGATCACTAGCCGAGTCGATCTAGCCATGTCCGTCTGTCCGTCTTTCCGTCTGTCTGTCCGTCTGTCTGTCTGTATGAACGCTGAGATCTCGGAAACTATAAAAGCTAGAAGATTGACATTTTGCATGCAGAATCTAGGAGTTCCTACGCAGCGCAAGTTTGTTTCAAAAGGGTGCCACGCCCCCTCTAACGCCCACAATCGCTTATATACGATTTTAGAAATTTCAATATTTCGGAAAACTAAAAATGCAGTTTTATTGTGTTTATGAATACCTATCGAAATGTAGAAGAAATTTTTTAAATCGGACCATTCGTTAAAAAGTTACGGCGGATCAAAGTCCCTTTAGCTGAGTAACGGGTATCTGATAGTCGGGGCACCCGACTATAGCGTTCTCTCTTGTTATTGTATTCTCTTCTACTCTAGGATATGATTTTTATTTAATATTTCGGAATTTCGAATTTCGGAATTTAACAAAAATCGGATGACTATATTATGTAGCTGCCATAGGGAAGGATAGAAAGATTAATACGAATTTAAAATATAAAATTTAGAATTTAAAATACGAAATTTAAAATTTTTGCTATTTGTAAGTTAATGGGAATCTGCAAGGGTATACATATAAGCTTCGGCTGTCCGAAGCTAGCTTCCTATCTTGTTTTTTTTCAAATTGAAATGAATATAGATTTATCGCAAATATATTACAATGTTAAAATATCGATGTATTTATCGACGGTTTCGTTAAATATTGATTTATATATCCACTTTTCGTATCAATATTTTGTGCCATCCTTAGCGTGTCATTAACCACCTCTTCTCTTCCAGGTCTTCTTGTGCGCAGGCTACAAGGATGGCGGGCGGGATTCCTGCCAGGGCGACAGCGGCGGGCCGCTAACGCTGACCATGGACGGTCGCAAGACATTAATTGGACTCGTGTCCTGGGGCATCGGCTGTGGGCGGGAACACCTGCCCGGCGTCTACACCAACATCCAGCGCTTCGTGCCCTGGATCAACAAGGTCATGGCCAATGACAACGCGTAGGCGCCACTGCACCGCGGAGACGCATCCCGTTAGCCAGGCCATGTGATTCCTCTACGACTCGGGGTTGCTAGTGTGTAAGACCAAGGTCTTTTTTCGGCCTTGTATTTATTTTACCCGTATTCCATCTCCTAGGGATCCCCCGCAATCTCCCTTCGGTCGATCCTTTCGCCTTTCATTCGTTTCTCATTGCATTACACGCATTCGATTTAAGTTTTCGATATTTATTATACACTGCTCGACGCAAGATTCCTACATTTGAGATCCACTTTCACTTACATTCATATTTATAACTTTAATTATGTTTTAAAATACAATAAAAAGAATTAAAATTTTAAACGTTTAGTGATTATAAGGCATTGCCCACTTACAAAATGGCCGCAAACCACACTGAAAACTCCAGAGGTTACAAATAACTGTCAACCGATTTTCCTAAGGCAGTTTGACTCTCGACAAAACCGAAAACAATTTTGTTCACAAACTCTCTCTCTGAGCGGAACCCGAAGCAGCTCAACCCAACAAAGTAATCGGTGAAACCCTTTTAAATTAACTGTCACCTAAAAGGGTTTCATAAGACGACTATTAAATAAAAGTCAGAAAAATGGGTTTTCTCTAGAAAGGGAAAAGTATAGGCCTGCTGTGATATGTGCATAAATTTTACATAGTAAATCAAGATAATTCTAAAATTGCATTGTACATATAAATGTACATAAAATTGTATTCTGAATTTAGGTTAACTGTTATTTTTTTGTTTGCTTCAATATATTTATTGACTATATAAGGAACTATCTTTAATAAGAAATGCCATAAAGAAACGAATTACCTATCAAATGAGCTATAAAAGGCAGATCGGTTCAAATTAACTATCATAAGTCCTAAAATAAACAAGAGAGAACGCTATAGTCGGGCTCATGTCCTGACTATCTACTACCCGTCACTCGGCTAAAGGGAGTGCGAGGGAGATGGATATATAACATTTTTTTATTGCGTATAACTTTTTAATGAATGGTCCGATTTGAAAAATGTCTTCTACATTTCGATAGGTATAAATATAAATAACAAAATTGCGTTTGTACTTCTCCTAAATCTTTAAAGGTGAGGGCGCCAGACACATTTTAAAATCGTTAGAGGGCGATTGTGGGAGTTAGAGGGGGCGTGGCGCTCGGCTGAAATAAACTTGCGCTGCCCAAGAATATGTGTGGAAAAACTCAACCTTCTAGCTTTTGTAGTTTCCGAGATGTCAGCATTCAACCGGACGGGCAGACAGACAGATAGACATGGCTAGATCGACTCGGCTAGAGACCCTAATCAAGAAAATATATACTTTATGGGGTCGGAAACGCTTCCTTCTAGCTGTTACATACTTTTGCACGAATACATTTTACTCTACGAGTAAAGGTTATAACAAGAGAGAACGCTATAGTCGGGTTGGTGTCCCGACTATTTAATACCCGTCACTCAGCTAAAGCGAACGCTGTACTCGGGTTGGTGTCCCGACTATAATGGTAGCTCAGCTAAAGGGAGTGCGAGGGAGATAGATATATAAATTTTGATTGCGTATAACTTTTTAATGAATGGTCCGATTTGAAAAATGTCTTCTACATTTCGATAGGTATAAATATACACAACAAAATTGCATTTATACTTCTCGGAAATCTTTAAAGATGTGGGCGTTAGAGGGGGCGTGGCGCTCGGCTAAAATAAACTTGCGCTGCGTAGGAAGCCAAAGAATATGTGTGGGAAATCTCAACCTTTTAGCTTTTGTAGTTTCTGAGATCTCAGCGTTCATACAGACGGACAGACGGACATGGCTGGATCGACTCGGCTAATGCCCCTGATCAAGAATATATATACTTTATGGGGTCGGAAAAGCTTCCTTCTAGCTGTTACATACTTTTGCACGAATCTAATATACCCTTTTACTCTACGAGTAACGGGTATAAAAATGTCTCAAAGTATTCCAACCAAGCCTATTCCTACAAAATGGTTCGCGCGTTCTTTCAAATCTTTCGAAATAATTTGAACAAAACCAAATAATGTTGTGAACTACATAAACAAAATTTTAAACTGCTAAAAGAGGTTTAACCTGTTAGAAAGCTCTAATTTTTCCTGCAGCTAAAAAGATTCGCTTCTTATTACGTGGATTTAATTATTAATTACTACATAAGAAAGATATGCCAAAAGTGGAGTTTTGGAATCGTAAATTGTTTAAAATATGTAGAATATTGGAATTTATTGGTAAATGGGCTAAGCTTACAGATTCAGCTTTAGAGACACATTACGTATTTTCCCTTACCCTTTTGAATTTTAATAATCAAAAAGCAATGTTACGACTGAAGCATTACTGAACAGGTCACACACGCATTCATACCTTCACAAAAGACCGTTTTCCTTAACAGACCGAGCAAAGTAGTCAGTAGAAGCCCAAACCGAAGTAACTCTGAAAAAAAGGGTTGTTGGGGCGGGGGTGGCTTGATTGTCGAAGCGATGATGAGTCCCAGGGAAATGGATTAAATCCGCGCAGAAATAAGTTTCGAAAACACGGTTAGAAACCTTCGGGGTTTTGCGCGACGTGCGGCTGTTTATTTGGTCACTTGAAAATAGGAACTCCTTAAGCCTAACTTAGCTTATGGGCTCCAGAGCGGAGCGGAGACTTGCGGAAGAGTTGGAGAGGGAGAGCGAAGGGCAGTGCGAGCAAGCAATATGTGGACATCTGGAGAAAACTGCCGCTCGACACTGCCTCCAGAAATTAAACGCCTTTTTGGCGTGAACAAGGGTTGTGCTCTGTGCGTAACATCTGTTAAGCAAAAACCCTTTTTTCATAGGGTTTGTAAGTGACAGGTTTTTTTGAAAAAAACACTTTGAAAAGGTTGACCGAACCTTGCAAGCTCTGGAAAAAACCAGGGACCGTAAATAATCATTATTTGAGATTATTATTTTAAAAAGACTACTGTGATATTTGGTTTTAAACGTCAAAAATAACGTTATTTTTATTCTTGTCCACAAAGTATATGCATTTCAACAAGTCTGGAAAGCAAATTAACTGTTATTTGTTCATATCTATAAACTGCATAAAAACCAGTTAAATTGTTCATTAAAACTTGTAAAAACCTCAGTAGGCCTTTTAAAATAAAAATCTCAAACAATTATTATTTACGGTCAAAACCATTGAAAAATGAAATTAGATATCTGCATATTCAGTAGTATCTCAGAAACCGGCGACGGTTGAGTTTAAAACGGTTTTTGTGACACTGAGATTTGCTTTTAGGGGTGAAATTTTGGTTGGACATCCCTGAACCATTTTAAAATACCGTTTTTAAAGGCGCTGAGCACATGTCTGTACACTCAGGAAAAATGTCAAGTATTTTGTGCTTAAATCTAGCATTTTGAGTGCCAAAATTCACACATCGATGAAAACTGCTAGCTAAGCATAGGAGTAAGCGAGAGGCAAATAGGTAGCTTACGCCTTTAGCCGGGGACTTTTTTCCACCGAGGTACTCAGACGAGCTAAGGAAATTGAAAGGAAATACCACAGAAAATGGAAAGTGTCATATCTTCGCGCGACATATGTATCTCCGCGCGACATATCTCAACCCTTCTACGAACGACATATCTCCGGGCGGAGATATAACGTTTAAAAACGACATATATCCGCGCGAAAATATTTTGTTCGTAAACGTCACATCTCTGCGCGGAGATATGTCGGTTTCAGTTTTTTAGACGACATAACTCCGCGTTGATCAACGGGAAAAATATGTCGTTTATAAACGACATATCTCCGCCAAATAAATCACGACATATCTCCGCTGACAAAATACATACAATACAAAAATACCATATTTAGCGAGCGAATTCCAATGAAAGCCTACACACAAAAAAAAACTTGGTAAAATCAACTGTAATAATTGTCAAACAGGCCCCAACCAGCAAAATTGTCAATTCTACTAAGTAAATAGTTATTTCACAACAACAAAATACACACAATTAGCAAAGACACACACCCAAAGCAAAAACAAAATACACGTAACTATTTTAATAGTTACGTAACTATCTTTGTTGGTCAATTTAACCAAGCAAATTTTACGGACTTCAAGTCCTACAATTGGGCTAAGAGTTTCACTAGTCGAAAAATATTATTCTTTTGTAGTGTGACCGAAGTTTTCAAAGTTCACCCGCTTTGCTTGCATCATGGTCTTATTGTAAACCAGCTGGGTTCACAGCAAGCAAATTAACTGGCGCCAATTTTGAAATTTTACAAAATGTTGAGCCGACCTGCTTTAAATTGGCTGTTGGCTTGAGGATATGTATTGCCGCAACTCCTAGAGGCAGTTTTCCATTGGTTTCTAGGTTTTTCATTCCATTAATAACATGTTATTGGCACACCGCTTCTGCACAAACACAGCCAAAGATTCAATTTTTTCTTCTTTGGGCCGCACAGTGGGGCGAAAAAGCCAAAAGTCTGCCTTAAATCAGCGGAGCCCTATATCGAATATCTTTTGATGGGGCATTGTTGAAGGCAATTAAATATGTAAAAAAACATCATAAGGTGAATTTTTTTAGTGAAATTTTTTTGTTGTAAAAAATTTTTAAGAAAAAAAAAAAAATTGTTTTTTTAAGGAAAGAAATATAAATAAATTACTTATAGGGTTCTAAGTTTCCCAATATTTTTTTTAATTTAACTTGATTTTTGAAAAAAAAAATTATTCAAATCGGTCAACTATATCTTATAGCTGCCATATAAACGCTTATTACAAAGGGGAATGTCTCGGTTCTATTTCAATATTGGTTCATATAAATTGGGATTAAGTCATTATTTATCATTTTAGCTCTATGCTTACCTTTTTTTTTAATTGGTCAATGATATCTTATAGATGTCATAGAATCAATCAAGGAAATATAGCATATTTTCAAAAAAAACTGGTAGAAACCGGTATTTACTTCATATATGTATTCTTAGTAAAATAACATAATTTAAAATTGTAAACCCAAATTTGTTTACTAATTTATCATTATCTTCATCAATACCTTCACATAAGTAAAATATCTTCATGATGTTAGGGCGCGCGAATGAACCAGGGCTGACGATATTTCAAATTATGAACATTTCTTGCTAACTTAAACTGCGGTTTTCTCAGAAGAGGCACAAAAGGGCAGGCTAATTTTTTCAGAACATGTAGTTAAATATCTAAACTTTTTTTTAAAAAAGAATTAAACGGGGATCTAGGGTGTAACACTACTTTACGTCCAAGGATATCCAAAAAATCCCTTTTTTTTGGACCACTTTTAAAAAATTAAAAAAAATAGTAATTATGTATCTAAAATTTTAATTTTTTTTTTTA